TCCACTCCATCACAATGATCTATTTGTGCAACATCCACATGACAAGTTCAACAGCTACCCTATCTCATATACATTATTTTGGTCTTTCTATGTTGTAATGCACAGTAGTACAGGTTTTTAATTCATTTTTATTATTATTATTATTGTAGCCAATCCATCCTATTAAAGTGACAAAAAAGAGGGAGAAATGTAATTAACAGGCATAGCTCTTCACTCAGCAGTTCACATTCATATCCAAACTGATCCTTCCTTAAAATCCACCATTATTCTTCATAGTCTGAAAACAACAAAGAACAGGTTCAATACAGAATATATTGTTTTCTTCTCACATTGTTTTTAAATGGCTGGATACAAATGCTAGACCAGTCCTCAACGTTGCCAGATCTCTCCATTCAGCACAGTTCAGGAAAGTGGGGCAAATGTGACTCACTTTGTACTGGATCTGGAGAATCTGGTTCAATTCCTGGAGCAAATTAGAGCAGCTCTGTGGCTGTCTACATGCTGGGAATTGCCTCAGGACATTAGCCTTGTACTCTTCGCCCGTCATCATGTCCTGGGCATGTCCCCTGTGCCAGAGAACTGAGGGACGCCAAAATGAGATGACTAGCTATGGTCTCTTTATACCAGCAAGGGGTTTGCCCATATGAAGGGAATTCCTAGCTGGCTAATTCCACCAGGCTTCCACATGCAGCTGAAGCAGGGCTAAAAACCTGATAATAAGACAACTTTCCAACTTTCCAAATATACTGTGTTCAGGTTCTTCATGGGCACTTTCCAACTAAAGGGTAAGTTACTTCAACTGAATCCACTGGGTTGTCTCCTGTCAACTCTAACTCGTGAGTGCAGGTAAGACGCCATTTAACCCTTTGAAGGTTAGCTCTCCAGGGCCTGTTTTACTAGGTGAGGGATGCATTGCAGAGACAGCCATCTTCTGTAATAAATGGTTGTCCTGTTTTTATTCATAATGGTTTAGAACATCCATCTTGTCTAATACAGAGCACATCTTACAAGCATTATCCTTACATTTGGAGGAACTTACGTCATAGAGCCAGGGGATAAAAGCAGATACCCGTGTGAAGACTGTAGGCTTCTGGTAGGTGTTGCAGTAGGGGATAATTCCAAAACTAACAATCCCATGGATTTGCCATAAACCATCCTTGTAACACTGCAAAGGGCCCCCTGAATCACCCTGCAATTAGAGTGGGGAGAAGTGACACACAGTTAGTTGCACCCAGATTGAACATTCCAGTCAATGAGCCAGATACTGTGACATGCTGAGGATTTTTTAGTACAGGCAGTCCCCGGGTTACGTACAAGATAGGGACTGTAGGTTTGTTCTTAAGTTGAATTTGTATGTAAGTCGGAACTGGTACATATTGTAGGGGAAACTCTAGCCAAACATTTCTCCAGAGCTCAGTTTTATTCTCCCACGCCTCACTTCCCTCAGTCCTTTATTCTCAAACTGAGGTGTCTGCTGAGAAAAGCCGCTCCGTGTCTCCCTGGTCTGCTGGGGGGGAGGCGCTAGCTTCGCGTCTCCCTGGTCTGCTGGGGGGAAGCAGCTAGTGCAGGGTTGCCTCACCCTGTTTGTAAGTATGGATCCGATGTAAGTCGGACTGCCTGTACTCACAATACATACTGAACCCAATGGGAGTAAAGAGTGATCAGCACCTCCCAGAAGGAACGTGATCCGTTGCGGAATCGAGCCCATAACTATTTGTTCTCTGCACACACACACACACACACACACACACACACACACACACACACACACTTTCTGCCTCCTCCCATTCAATATAATTCATGTTTAAGGCACTTATCAAATGCCTATTGAAGGGGATGGCATAACCATAAGTCAATTGTATTATTTCCAAAATCTATTGATCTGTAGTAGTTTTGTTCTTTGATTGACCATGTCTTCCAGTAATGAGTTAGGTGGAGGGTGTGAAAAGAAGTAGTCCTTTTTTTTAGTAGGAGCATAATATTTTCTATCAACACTTTTAGATGCTGGGTAAATGCTGGCTGGTGTTTGTCATCAGTGGGGCTGACAACCACCATGGGCCCCAAGGTAAGGTGTCAGGTGGGGCTGGCTCCATGCTAATGGAAGGGGTGGAGCCTTTGGCAGAAGGGGGAGGGCCAGGAGCAGCCAATCCTCAGCACTATCTGGATTCTGGCATGCCCCTCCCAGCACTCAGAGCCTCGTGGGGAACCCAGTGCAACACTCCAGCACTTCAGCAGCAATTGAAAGGTGCATGGAGACCCAGCTGCTGCTACTGCAAAATGGTGGTGGCCAGAGCTCTGAGCCTCTTTAAACCACCAAGCCTCCCCTGGCAGCAGGCCTGTCTGCCATAATATTTTCACCAACTCCATCACTGCATCATTAATTGGCAGTGCTATCTTGGATGTAGAACATATGTGGAGGACCTTTGGAAGTTGATGTTGGGTCTCAGCTACTTCCTCAGCTGGGATGTTTTGGCATTGTGCTACTCACTGGAATAATTCTTGAAATTGTTTAAAGTCATCTACAGCCATAGGAAGCGGGGGTTTTACAGTATCATCCACCAAAGGATGTGTCTTGTCCCATGTCCATTTCTCTTTCGTCTTCCATTTCCTCAGGGCCCACCAAGGGTTCCTATACTGAGGTTGTAATGCCTCCTTTAAGGTCTATTATACAATTCATATAGGCTGCCCATGTGTGCCATTGTGGTCATTGCATCAGGAATGGCACAGATGAGTACATCCACGGTATCTGAATCATGGTTGTATGTCTCGGTCCCACTGCTCTCCAGATTTCATATGTCCCAGCGTTGGTCCGGTGCTGGTAGTCCTGGAGGTTCCTGGTGCATCTAAGGTGCTCACTCTCAGCCTGGCTGGAAGTGAGGATAGTGACTTTGCAGGACATCGTTCTTTTCAGTGGTTCTCTCTGCTGACACAATGTGTCCCTTCTCCTCACTTTCTTGGAGGAGCAAGTACTTGCTGTTTCTAAGGGTGAGTGCCCAGAGTCCCTGGTTGACGGGTTCTGTTGTCTGGCATTAGAAGCTGATTGGAGGGATTTCTCCATGAGAATGAGTTTCCATTGGAGATCTCTGTCTTGTCTGGCTGTAGCTCTGATGTTGCTGCAATGAGTGCACTTTTGTGATTTGTGACTCATCTAAGCAATAGACACAGAGCGAATGGCCACCAGAAATAAGCATCACGCCTTTACATGAGGACACCCTTTGAATTCTGGTAAGCCAGGCATGTTTTTACTGTCCCTCGTCAAGGTAATTTTCAAAACTGAATAACGGAAATTTTATGTTTTGAAATAAAAACAAAAAGGAATGAGAAATGGCTAAGTAGTAACTTATTAAAATGTAAATAACATTAATAATTTCTTTCTATTTACTTATTTTCCTAGACTGTCTTTTGTCTCTATAGGGCTTATTTTCCTAGACTATCTTTTGACACTACGTAGCTACAGTGCTACGTCTCAGGTCAAGGATAGTGTGAAGGACCTGAAGGGGTCAGGTTTCATACATGTGCTTGTCAAAGTGCCAACAGTGCTGCGAGACAATCACTGCACACATACAGCCATGATGGACCCTGCTACCAAAAATCTCCAGTTCGCAGCACTGGGACACACTGACACCTGAAGTGGAAAATCCACCAGGACATCACTTGAAGAAGTACTCTGGAGCTTTTTTCTCTTTTACACCCTTCCCATTGGTTTACTGTCGGAGGGGGCAATTAGTAGCAATAAAAATAAAAAGAACACTACTCAAGAAATAGAACTTGTCTGGAGGGTTTGAACGCCCGATATGTTGCATGCATTGGGGGAGTGTGTTGTAAATTACTTAAAATTCCTATTGTAATGGGGTTGTATAGTAAAGGAGTTAATGGGAAAAAGAGAAAGGTTTGAGAAATCCCAGAAAATATGGCACTTACACTGCACCCGGACTTCACGCCATCTCCACCAGCACACACCATGATAACCTTTGCACTAGAGCCCCACCAGTTAGGCTGAGAGCAGATGGCGTGGTCAACCACTGGGAGCATCGCTTCTTGAAGTCTGGCAGGTGCACTGCCACCAGCTTGAAGGAGAAAAGACAATATTCTGCTCAAGAGACACTCTAAGTAAAAATAAATTACCACCTCTGCTGCCCTTATTCTCATTGAGTAGTAACTTATTGGCAGTACTATTTACTGAGGAAGGTACAACTCTATGGAACCATAGTAGCATTGGGTGCAGGATGAGGCCAATATGTCCCCTGCTTACTCATAGGATCTCCTCCCTGTGTTTAGTCAGTCATGTCTGCTAAGTTTAGTGCTCAAAACAAGCTTTTAATGCTTGAATCATGATAGCCGTTCATGGCCAACCCTAGAGCAGATCCCAGGATAAGCCACTGTCACTGAGACATTAAAAGTGGCAATGCGTGTCCACACTGAATGCTAAATGGTGATAAACATCATGCTGTTTCAGAAATATTTACTGTGGGAAAATACTATGATGACAAGAGATGATCACAACATTCACCCCCCTGCAGAGAGTTTATTAGAAGACCCATGCACCATGTTCATTCTACTTAAGCTGTCAAAGATGTTGCACGACAATAGGTTTTATTGAGAAAACGAGTCGTGCTGGGTCTCTGGTCTTGGTCAGTCCTTCGGGAATGAGAATTAACTTTTTTCCACTTACCGCTAGACACTCCCCATCCAGTAATATAACATGGGAAATTATTAGGCAAAATGTCGCCTTCAGATGGAAGCCTTCCTGTCTCAACAAAGCCGTTATTATGTGCCGGTGAAGAGAGATGCAGCAAGGCAATGTCATTTCTGAAACAGGACACAGATGTTAGCCCTTTGCATGCTGTGAGGCAAAATTCTTGAGTCAGTCATGACCAAACTCTGAATATCCTTGCTCACTTTTTTACTTACCTATCTAGGAACTTATATAGCCTCCTGTGCCACCATATCTTTAATACTGTAGCCTTAAAATGCCATTTTACAGATGAGGAACTGAAGGTATGGAAGGACTGAATACTTTGCTAAGTCATACAGGAAGTTTGCAGACCAGAAACTTACCCCAGATGTCCTGAGTTCGAGTCCAGTGTTTTCTACAAGGCCATCCTAAACCTCAGAGGGTGATGGATAGAATATGTACAGTGACAGGGTCAGGTCAGAGGGTTACAAAAGAGTGCTAGAAGGAAAGTATGTCAGCCTTAGCTGTTGGTCTCTGTTCCCTGGGTAAACTGGCATGGGCTGGCCTAGAACCAGGAGGAACTTTCCAGAAGCAGTCTGGACAATCAGGCCAATTAGAACACCTGTAGCTAATTAGGAGCATCCCAGAGCAAAGGGAGTCAGGCTAATTAGACAACTTCAGGCCAATCAAGAACCAGTTGAGACTGATTTATAAGGGCTCCTTTTCTGTTAGTTAGGTGGCACCTGAGGAGAAAGGAAGGAAGGAGCCAAAGTGCTGAGAGTGAGAGGAGTTTGGGTGAGATCTGGGAGCTGCCAGGCAGGAAGACTGTGTGTTGGAGGATCAAGTCTCAGAGGAAAGATACTGGGAGGGATCATTTGGGGAAGTAGCTGCCAGACCGGGAGTAGAACAAACTCCATCTGTTGCTGATGCCTTAAGGTCCCTGGGCCGGAATCCGGAGTAGTGGGCGGGCCCGGGTTCCCCCAAACCTCCCCACACCACTACAGAGTCTGTCCCTAGATAGGGAGACCAGGACTACAGAGGGCTTTCACCTCCATATTATGGACTAACCTGTGATGAGTATGGCTCAGAATGCTGTGAACCCTGCTTCTAATTAAATTTAAAAAAAAAGAAGTCGTGTGGTGGGACACAGTGAGCCTCTGAGGCTGAACACTATCCTCCAGAAGCAAAGGACTCACAGGCACAGCCAGAGCTTTGCCACAGTACATAAACATTTGCAGGACTGCCCCTAAGTAAGGACATCAGTATTCATTTCAATGCCAAGGTCGTATTCAAAACAAATTACCCGTTCCCTAGATCATAGGGGTTCCAGGCTTCATGAATAAATATTTTGTCCACACTAACAAAATATTCAGTGCCATCCAACTCAGAGAGATCGTGCTCGCCCAGAGCCACTTGGTATCTTCCTCCATTTGGCCTGAAAATTAATTGAAAAATGATTACCATAAAACATCCCCTTTGTTCCACATTGGTGCCTTTATATGCTAGATCCTATTTCTGCAGAAGCTTTCTCCTATTATAGTCATTTTTTAGAATCATAGAGCTGGAAGGCTACGTCTACAGTGCAGTGCTATCCCAAATTAGCTATCCTGCATCTTAACAGGAAGCCCATTATTTTGAAATATAATGAACTCATTATTCTTACGTCCTTGTAAACCTCATTCCACTAGGAGTAGGGGATGTTTTGGAATAGTGGGTTATTTTGAAACTTGGTGCTGTATAGACAACGCCAAATTATGAAATAAGCTATTTTGAAATAAGATTGAAATAAGATATGCAATTTAAGTAGCTCAAATTGCATACCTTATTTCAACCTATGATGAAGTGTAGATGCACCTGAAGCGACCTCAAGAGTTCAGTCACCTGAACTTATGGCGGGACCAAGCACCAGCTAAACCATTCCTGACACGTGTCTGTCTAACCTGTTCTCAAAAATTCAACAACCTCTTTAGATAATTCCACCTGACAATCTTCAGAGTGATTTATAATATAATATATAATGGGCATCTACAGCTAAAGATATGTTTCTTCTAACTATTGTAATGTATTGTTTATAGGGAGTAAAAAATATGTGAGGAACTTTGTGTATCATATAAACAGACATGGAATACAGAGGGGGTAGGCAAGGTTTCCTTCCTCACTCTGTCTTTGTGCAGGTTTATGCATATTTACATTTATTTTAAAGTGTTACACATATGAATATTTGTATGCATTTATGTAAATCTGTAATCAGATGCTTTTTTGCTTCCAAAAGTTGACAGAAATGTGTAAATATGGACGAGTCTTTTAGTATTTATCAGTGGTCACAAAACTAATTGTCGAGTAATTGTATTTGCTTGTCTCACAGAGAACATACATGTTGAGAGCTGTGAATGTTGAGAGCAAGTCATGCCTGACCATCTTACATGTTGAACCTCTCTAGTCTGGCAACATCCGTGGTCCAGCATGATTTTAGTTAGCCGGATGTCCACTTATCATGGGTGTAGCCGAGTATCTTGCAGTTTCATAAAGTTTGTTTACAGCCACTAGTCCTGGGCCTCTGTGTTCTGCACTGTTATTTAGCTCTAAATTATCCCTCAATGTCTTCCAAGAGCCCAGCAATCAGTGGAAGTGTCGGTAAAGCTGCTAGACAATACTGACCTCCTGTGGTTTGGCAAATTCTTTGGTTCAGTACTGGTCAGGTCCCAAGGGTGCCAGACTAAAGAGGTTCAACCTGTAATTGCTTTCTATGATGAGATAACTGGCTATGGGGAAAACAGTGGACATGATATACCTTGACTTCAGCAAAACTTTTGACACAGTATCCCACAGCATTCTTGCCAGCAAATTAAAGTATGGCGTAGATGAATGGACTATAACAGGGATAGCAAGCATGCGATTGTCAGTTCAATTGTTAGTGATCAATGGCTCGATGTCTAGATGGCGCCTGGTATCCAGTGGGGTGCCCCAGTGGTCAGTCCTGGGGCCAGTTTTGTTCAACAACTTCATTAATGACCTGGGTAATGGAGGGACTGCACTCTCAACAAGTTTGCAGATGACACTAAACTAGGGGGAAAGCTATATACGCTGAAGAGTAGAAGTAGAATCCAGAGTGACCTAGACAATTTGGAGGACTGGGCCAAAAGAAATCTGAGTTTAACAAGGACAACTGTAGAGTCCTGCACTTAGGACGGCAGAATCCCATGCACTGCTACAGGCTGGGGACAGACTAGTTTAATGACTATTCTTCTGCAGAGAAGGACCTGGGGATTACAGTGGATGAGAAACTGGACATGAGTCAAGGGTGTGCCCTTGTTGCCATATTGGACTGCATAAGGAGGCGCATTGCCAGCAAATCGAGGGAAATGATTATTCCCTGGAGTACTGGTCCAGTTTTGGATCACCCACTACAGGAAGTATATGGACAAATTGGAGAGAGTCCAGAGGATCACAACAAAAGATATTAGGGGATTAGGGTACATGATTTATGAGGAGAGGTTGAGGGAAATGGTCTTATTTAGTCTGCAAAAAATAAGAATGGGGGGGGGGGAATTTGATAGCAGCCTTCAACTACCTAAAGGAGGCTTCCATAGAGGATGGAGCTTAAGCTATTCTCAGTGGTGGCAGATGACAGAACAAGAAGCAATGGTCTCAAGTTGCAGTGGACGAGGTCCAGGTTGGATGTTAGACAAAACCATTTCACTAGGAGAATGGTGTAGTACTGGAATGAGTTGTCTAAGAAGGAGGTGCTTCTCCATCCTTAAAGGTTGTTAAGTCCAGGCTTGACAAAGCCCTGGATGGAACAATGTAGCTGGGAATGGTCCTGCTTTGAGCAAAGGGGTAGAACTAGATGACCTCCTGAGCTCTCTTCCATCTCTAATTTTCTATGATTCTACATAGAATGGCCCAATAATGGGACGGCCAACAGACTTTGCCAGGCCCTGGACAAGATGAGGGGGGCTGACTCCCAGCCAGCCCTTCAGCACCACCTGGTGCTCTGGCAGCTATTTAAACAGCCCAGAGCTCCAACTGCTGTGGTAGTGGCAGTGGCAGCAAAGATCCCTGGGCCCTTTTAAATCACCAGTCCTGGGACGGCTACCCTCTCTTCCTCCCCATTCCCCTCTCCACCCCATCAGTGGCCCCGTCCAATAGCAGTCCAGAATGAGAAGCAGAATTGGGATTTGTAGCAAGAGTTACAAGCTTCTTATTATTTTACTTACATTTGGATACAGTGGGCAGCAGTCATGACCCAGTTGGGACTAACAAGGGTCCCACCACAGATATGAGAATAATAGTCAGGATAGTATGCATCGGCTATTTGGAGGGACACCTGTATCAAATGGTAAAATATTGAACATCAGCGTTCCATTCCGAGCTCTGCAGCAGTTTACCAGAGTTATTTCAGTCAGTTACTTGCCCTGCAATCCACCCACACTGAAGCTTGCTTTCTGTGTCTGCTTAAATGTGTGCTGCCCCAGGGCAGTGGTAGGAAGAGGAGGTTACTTACCTTGTGCAGTAACTGACATTCTTCAAGATGAGTGCCCCCACACAGTAAGTGCGCCTCTGTGCCATGGATCAGAGTCTTCAGAGCAGTGTCGTCAGGGCCAGTGTCTTCAGAGAAGTGTTGTGAGGTGTGGTGCCCGGACCATGCACCCTCAGTATCCTGGTATTGCACATGTACGATGCCCCTCCTCCCCCAATGTAGAGCTGTTTAAGCCTT